GACCTTCTGATTAGTGGCTGACCTGCTCTGCCACCTGAGCTACAGCCACCCCCCCATAGTTATAAAGGAAAGTTAGGTAAAATAATTAGGTAAAATAGGACTGCTAAACACAGATGAACTCACTGTAAGCATCTCCTTTTCTCACATCAATAAACGTAAACCAGCAAAGAACAGCAATTCAGAACATGCTGCTCTTACCTCTGATAAAACAGTGCCTTCTGAAGGGTTGACGAGCACTACGGTCTCTAAGACATCACTCCTGTGGTGGAGAGTCCTTTGTCCTGAAAGAGAAGATGGAAAACCTTTTAAATATTTTTTTAATGTAACAAATCTGAAGAAAGGTTATGGAGGCCGGAAAGGTCGAATGAGGTAAACGACTTGATCGAAACTGCTGGCAGACATTCAGCCATCTGGTTTGAAGACATCCTGTTTGGATTGCATCCAGACCTGATCTGGAAAACCTCTTTGAGTCAGAGAGATTTACTGTACTGCATTCTCCACTATATGTGGGGCAGTCCCTTTATAGAGACAGGCAACCCACTTGTGCATCAATGCAAGAGCAAAAGTTGGAATAAGAAAGAGGTCACAAATGTCTGTTGGGTGAAGTTTAAAATTAAAGCCTCAAGATTTTATTCGTTGTTTCTCTGCGCTCGTCTTTCCTCCCTTCGTTCTCTCCTCACCACAACCTGGTGAGGGAGATGGCTCCCCTCCCTCAGGCTGGTTTTGCTGGAGGTTTATTCCCATTAAAAGGGAGATCTCCCCTTTTTTCTGCAAAGTTCTCGATTAAAGGGAACTGCTGGGTCATAAGCTTGCTGTATGCAAGTTGCGCTAGGATGGCTAACACCATTTTATACAGTGCATTACAGAACTTGGGAACAATGTCCGTAAATTGGACATCATTTTTCTCTATTTTTTGACTGAATAGAAACAGTATTTGGACATGGATTGAAAGTAAACACTAACGCACTTATACATAGAGGACATAAAACAAGCGAAACGCAAGAAAATTTAAAACACTTCCTTACATTTTTTTGTGCATTTAAATTTTTGATATTATGTGTCTCCCCCAAAAGTACACCACAAATTAAAAGTTAGGTTTTATCTCACTTATTAACAGAGAAACAATCAACACTTTAAATTCAAAGATTTAAAACAGCAGCAGCATGTCATGTTTAGCTAGAAACAAGCCACTACAACAGAGGCTGCTGTCCCATTTTGGAGAGCTCAGCCTAGAGTTTATATTTTAGTTAATGTGCAAAAGTTACATATGGCAAAATTCCTATAGCTGCACAGGGAGTCTATGGAGATGCTGAGATCTCTGTTGCACTGATGTTGATCACAGTCAGCTTGACTATAGTATGAGTTACAAAATCTTTACATGGATGATGAGCAAAATATTGTTTTATATTCGTGCAGATCATTTCATCAAAAGTCTTTGAGTGAATGGGAATGAATGACACAGGGACAGCGGTCAGCTTCCCTGCGTTCTCGTCTAATGTGTTAGGCTGAGGTCTGGCATTTTGTTAGCAACTGACAGCTCTACTCACATGATTGGTAACCAATGTATTGTTTATGTAGTACTAGGTGACCAATCCAGGGCAGGGCTTTTAGAAAGGTCTAGACAGGAGCTAAACGTACAGTATGTAAAAACAAAATGACATTTTAAACATTAACATTTAAAATAAAATAAAAAAAACACTTACTTACTAAATGAGCATAAAAATGGGAACTATCATATTTGTTATATTATGTACATTACTCATTTTAGAGGTGGTGTTAAGCTTTTAATTCCCCTTTGTTTCAGTGCAAATTAGATATCTCAGAGCTCTATTAATAGGAGGATCTCAGTGACTCCACCATCCGCCGGGATCTTCAGTGCATCCCCCGAGTTTGCAGAACTTTGCCTTCCTCTTTGCGATCTGTCACGTGTTTTCCATGAAAAGACTATAATGTAAATCACTGCCAGCTTAAGATACCATGCTGCAAAAAGAACAGCATTAAGAAAAAACAAAGTACTGTTAAGATGCAGAGGAGTTTGAATGAAACAAGTAATTTAATACATTAAAGAGAAGCTCTGAAATTATTCCACTTGAATATCAATAATGCAATCAGTGTGATATTAAGTCTAGACCATCTGTGATGACAGGAAGAAGCACTCAAATATTATATTGCACACAATAATCACAGACATATTATCTGTTTTCAGCTGATCTGATTCATCCATTTATATCCTTTTTTTGGTACCAAATGATATTAGTATAATTTTGAAAAAAAGAGTGAGCTGAACTGAATCATTTTGTATTCAACCACATTTTTCTCTTTTCTACAAATCATCTGTGACATTTTCAGAAAATGTCAAGAGTTATTTTCTCTCCTCACAGTGATTCTACCTATTCTGAGATCATGAACTCTTTCACACTGGTGATCTTTTTGTGGTGCGTCATAAGAACTAAAAGCTGCATATCACGTTTTCAATAGCAATAACAATGGTTCAACGTAGAGTTAATAAACGTTATATTCTAATTAAGCTTCCACAGTTTTAACACCAAAAACCACAGCATATATACTACTATTATCAAGGAGAAGACAGGCTCTCTGGATATTTACATTAAATTACAGATGTTAGTTGTTACTTCAGGAAGTGAACAATGAACTTTCAGACGGTCTAATTGCTTCTTTTTGATTCAAATGTTGTGGTTCATTAGGAGTTACACAGGGATATGGTTGATGGTTTTTGATATCACCATTTCATAAACACAATATCCTTTTTTTATATTTGATTTATGTCATTTGAGAGTAATAATTGTGTTTAAATTACTGGCACACGTACGTCAGCTTAATCTCTCTTCTGAGTGGTCTTGGAAACAAAAGCGTTTGGACTTCTTTAAATTTCTTGAAGATGTTTCATCTCTCATCCGAGAAGCTTCTTCAGTTCAGCTCTGAGTGAATGTTGGAATGTCTGAGGTATTTTTTTTACATGTAATTTATGTGCATAATTTAATAAACGAGTACATGCCCATGCTACGATATTGGTTGACCTGTTCTTGGAACTGGATAAATGCAAAAACTGAGTCATTTTAGCCCATTGCTAGGTGGTTGCTAGGGAAAATGATGACATCATGCTATCTGATATAGATGAGACCCTTATAGATACTGTGATTTTTAGTTATCATCTATTTCCATTTTTAGTCATGTTGATATATTAAATTTTGTCAGTGTCCTTATATAGAGCCCTTAAAACTGGCTAGTTTAAAGTAGCTATACAAATAAACAAGACTTCTGCTTGCATTTAGCATTCATTATGTTTTGATTCGTTTTAGCATTTTAAGCTAATTGTTATTGTTCATTAAGCTCTCCTGTTACTGGTGCATTAAACTACAAACAGGAAATGTGAGCTAGCAATACTACTACCATAGTGAAAGACTATTTTCATCCAAAACCTCTTGCATCTTGACTGATTTATCACAACTAAGGATGCAAACAGTTTAAATTATGAAACCCATGTGAACCTATAAAGTGGATTTATTTTCATATTGCAATGTATTCTTCATAAGGCAGCATTCTGCCAGCATCATTCAACCAAATTAGAAGATGTGGCTCCCTCTGTTGATGTTACCATAGGAACACACTGCAGACCAATAGAAAGCAACGATTTCTAATCAACTGACAGCTTCATAGGGTGAGTGGCGATGAGAGGTCACTGAAGGATTTAACTGAAGAACGACACCCCTTGCTGGGACAGCAGTCAGAAGTTCTAACACTCCAGCAGATCTGCCCACAGACGCGTCCGGTTTCACAGCGCGATGACTAAGCTGCGAGGGTGAGCCATGATTTGCAAGTTTGCTTTGATACTTTAATCCCTGGCAAGAGCAAAACGCAACACCGAGCAGCCTCGTCGATATGGACAATAGAGACGCTGGAACCACAAAGCTGCAGGATGAATTTGTTAATTTGCTCTCACAAGAACGAGGCCCATACACTTGGTGCTTTCCTTTGACCTCCAGGTGAAGCAGATGAGGAGAGACTCCATTAGCTGCTGCCGATGGCTGCCCGCAAGCTGATTGTTCGCTGACACTGCAGACTGGTACGACAAGATACTACAACAACAAAGACACTCTCTGTCAGTGTGAAATGCTGATGTTTCTCCTCGGGGTCACAGCACATCAACAAGCCTCTCAGAGGGCTCGCTGTCACTGCAGGATGAGATTTCTCAGACCACGTCACCTTTACTCCTAATTACTGCTAATGGGGATAATTCTGTGTAGGTGACAGTGGTGCACTGGCAGGTTAAAAGGCCCTCCAACACTTAACTTTTAGCATTTTGTTATTATATTTACTGTAATTCAGGTGAAGACCCCTCCCCTCTTATGTTTTAACCCTCTCAGGCCCGAATTAATTTTTTTTGCTGCTAATGCACAACCAAGTCCTGCAGTGGTACTTCTGAGTAAAAAAAACTCATAAAATATGTATGTGGGATAATCAGGTTGTTAGGTCTTAACTGTTGCAAATCTGCAACGTCTGCCTGGAGAGGGTTAAGGGGATTTAATTAAAAGAAAATGAATTTCAAACAACATTTATAATCATTTCATATTTGGAGGTATTTTTTTTAAGATGATAAACATTTTTTAAAGCTGTCCATATAAGAAAATGTGCAGCTATTTTTTGTTTTAACTATAAAAAATATAAGATTTGGGTGGTATAAACTGGAAAACCTGCGAATGGGGTACAGCAGCAGAAGACACCAGGTCGCTCCTTTCCGCTGAGAACAAAAAACTGATGCTACAGTTCATAGAGGCTCACCGAAACTTGACAACAGACTGGAACTGGTGCCAGGTCTCATGAGTCTGATTTTTTTTTTCTTTATGTTAGAATCAACAACATGAAAGAATAGATCCATCCTTCCTTGTGTCAACAGTTTATGCTGGAGGTGGTATAATGATGTGTGGGATGTTTTCCTGGAACACGGCCTCTTAGTACCAACTCAGTATTGTTTAAGATTACAGCCTGCCTGAGTATTGTCTTCCTTAGTCGTCTTTCAGTGACTGCCTCTGTCACAAAGCTCAAATCAGCTCAAACTAGTTTCTTGAACGTGACAGTGAGATCACTGCTTTAAAATGGCCTCCACTGCCACCAGATATCACTTCAGTTGAGCACCTTTGGGATGTGATGCTGGGAGATTTGGATCATAAATGTAGGGCCAACAAATCTGCAACAGATGTTATCATGTCAACATGAATCAAAGTCTCTGAGGAATGTTTCCACAACCTTGTTGAGTCTATGA